GAGTCTCACTCTGTCGCCCAGACTGGAGTGCAGTGGCCGCTCCCAGCCACCGCAGTCTCGACCTGCTGGGCTCCGGCGATCCTTCCACCTCAGCCTTCCAATAGCTGAAACTACAGGCGCGCACTACCACACCCGGCTAATTTTTGCTTATTGTAGCGATGAGGTCTCACCAAGTTGCCCAGGCGGGTCTCAAACTCGCGGGCTCAGGCAATCCACTCACCTCAGCCTCCCAAAGGCGCGGGATTATAGGCTGAACCACCGAGCCCAGCTTTTTTTTTTTTTTTGAGTTGGCGTCTCACTCTTTGCTGCCCAGACTGGAGTGCAGTGGCACACTCACAGCCACCGCAGCCTCGACCTGCTGGGCTTAGGCGATCCTTCCGTCTCAGCCTTCCAAGCAGCTAGAACTACAGATGCACGCCACCATGCCTGGCTAGTTCAGAAGGTTTTTCACTTGACTTTGTCCAGATTCATCAGCGGAGTCACTATCTGGAAACTACATTCTTACATAATATATTTCTTAAATAATCAGACTAGAAAGTCGAAATGACTCCTTGTGTTAGCAGGCATGAAAACAACATGAACCTCTTTGTACATCTGCATTAGAGCTCCTGGTTGACCTGGGGCTTTGTTGATGAACAGAAATTTTTCCAAAGGGCATCTTTTTTCTTGAGCAGTAGGTATCAACGGTGGGCTTAAAATATTTAGTAAACCATGCCATAAACAGATGCGTTGCCATACTGGCTTTCTTTTTCTATTTCTAGAGCACAGGCAGAGTAGACTTAATTCTTTTTTTTTTTTTTTTTTTTTTTTGAGTTGGAGTCTCACTCTGTCACCCAGACTGGAGTGCAGTGGCCGCTCCCGGCCACCGCAGCCTCGACCTGTTGGGCTCCAGCGATCCTTCCGCCTCAGCCTTCCAAGTAGCTGGAACTACAGGCGCGCGCTACCACGCCCGGCTAATTTTTTGATTTATTGTAGAGATGAGGTCTCGCCAAGTTGCCCAGGTGGGTCTCGAACCCGCGGGCTCAGGCAATCCACTCACCTCAGTCTCCCAAAGGTGCGGGATTACAGGGGATTTAATTCTTAAGTGCCCTAGGATTTTCTGAATGGTCCGTTCACATTGGCTTCAACCTTACAGTCACCAGATTCCTTAGCCAAGTCAGCCTGTCCTTGGAAGCTGTTATTTATTGTAGTCACCTTGATCAATGATCTTACCTAGATCTTCCAGACAACTTATTGCAGCTTCTTTATCAGCACTTGCTGCTTCACCTTGCACTTTTATGTCATGGAGACAGTGTCTTTCCTTAAGCCTCATGAACTAATCTCTCCTAGCGTCAGACTTTTCTTCTGCACCTTCCTCGCCTCTTTCAGACTTTCATAGAAGTGAAGAGAGTTGGGCCTCACTCTGAATTAGGCTTTGGCTTAGGGACTGCTGTGGATGGTTTGATCGTCTGTTTACACCACTGAAACTTTTTCCATATCAGCAATAAGACTGTCTTGCTTTCTTATCATTTGTGTGTTCACTGGAGTAGCATTTTGAATTTCTTTCGAGAACTTTTCCTTTGCATTTACAACTTGGCTAACTGTCTCGCACAAGAGACCTAGCTTACAACTTATCTCCACTTTCAGCGTGCCTTCCTCGCTACACTTAATCATTTCTGGCTTTTGATTTAAAGTGAGAGATGTGAGTCTCTTCTTTCACTTGAACACTTAAAGGCCACTGTAGGGTTAATAATGGTCTAATTTCAATATTGTTGTATCTCAGGGTATAATAGGGAGGCCTTAGAAGAGGGAGAGATGGGTAAACACCTGGTTGGTGGAACAGTCAGAACACACATAACATTTATCAATTAAGTTCACCATGGCATTCCCAAAACAATTACAATAGTAACAGCAAAGGTCACAAGTCCCAGATCACCAAAACAGATACAATCATCACAATAAAGACATTTGGGAATATTTTGAGAATTACCAAAATGTGGCACAGAAACACGAAGTTAGAAAATGGTGCCAATAGATTTGTTCAATGCAGGGTTGCCACAAACCTTCAATTTGTAAAAAACACAGTATCTGCAACATGAATAGAGTGAAGCACAATAAAAAGAGGCATGCCTACACAGAAAAAGAGACCATTCTAAATTAAAAGAGATGTAAGATTCAATGTATGGTATTAGATTGGACAGACTAGCTACAAAGACCATTTTAAGGACAACTGGGAAGATGTGAAATATGCGGTAGGTTTTTTATAATATTAAGAAATACGACCAAAAAAAGAAAGTATGAACACTTTTGTTAGGTGTGATAGTATTTTGGCTATGCATAATAAAGAAAGTCAGTCCAGACGCAGTGGCTCAAACCTGTAATCCCAGCACTTTGGGAGGCCGAGGCAAGAGGATTATCTGAACCCAGGGGTTCGAGACCAGCCAGGCAACTTGGTGAGACTGTGTCTCTATAATAAATTTTAAAATGAGCTGGATATGGTGGTACGCACCTGTAGTTCCAGCTACTCGGAAGGCTGAGGAGGATCACCTGAGCCCAGCAAGTTAAGGCTGCGGGGGCTGTGAGCATGCCACTGCACTCCAGCCTGGGTGACAGAGTGAGATTCCAACTAAAAAAAAAAAAAAAAAAAAGTCATGGTATCTTAATCTGTTTATAGTACATAAACATTTTTAAATATGTTAAGCAGTTAAATACATATCAAAAATTTAGAAAGTTTTTAGACTTTTCTGTTTTCAAAATTTCTAATTTTTATACTTATATATTATAGAAAGTACACACTTTAATAAGTATATATTTATATATAATGGAATATATACATTTTCTATACAAAAAATGAATATGCATTTATATTTAATCCCTTTTTAAAAGCAAGAACACTAAAAATTAATAAATGATTTACATGTTTTTAAAAACAGGTATAGCTATATGAAACATATTATTAAATGTATTTTTTAGAAATAAAAGAGTAACAACCAGAAACACAGCTAAAAGAGTTAAAAGTAACTGTCTTTGGGGAACAAAATTGAAGAGGAGAGGGGAAGTGGAAAGAGGGGTGTTTTTCTTTTAAAAACCTTTCAGTCTATTTGATTTTAAACATGTGTTTGCATTACCTTGACTTTTAAACGTGTTTAAATAATGTTGACAATATCTCTCAGGATCAGTACACATCCAAGTCCTACTTCCCACCCATCTCTATATCTTAGAGTTGAAGTTGATCTTTGCAAAGATGACTCTTTTGTTTTGCAAGGTTCTGACCTGTAAAAAAAAAAAAAAAAAGATTTAATTACACTCAGCGCACTCTATTTAATTAGGCAAGAATGCAGACTAACACATTTTTAAAAGATATTTCTTTGTAAAGTTGAAACAAAAAGTGATTGTGAACCAGGAAATTAAATTAACCACAACATTCTCCAAGTATTCTGGTTGGTTCTGAGGCCTGACTGGTAAGTAAGTCTCATTCACTATAAAAATGCACATGCCACCGGGCTCGGTGGCTCAGCCTGTAATCCCGCACCTTTGGGAGGCTGAGGTGAGTGGATTGCCTGAGCCCGCGGGTTCGAGACTCGCCTGGGCAGCAAGACCTCATCTCTACAATAAATCAAAATATCAGCCGGGCATGGTAGCGCATGCCTGTAATTCCGGCTACTTGGAAGGCTGAGGCGGAAGGATCGCCAGAGCCCAGCAGGTCAAGGCTGCGGTGGCTGGGAGCGGCCACTGCACTCCAGTCTGGGTGACAGAGTGAGACTCCAACTCAAAAAAAAAAAATGCACAAGCCAAGATGGTTAAGATCATGGCAAATCATGTTCAAAATACCAAGGGGATTCCCCTGTCAGTGAGAGTCTTAGAAAGTTTCATGGCATGACCTGTTTCAAAAACGGACAAAATAATCTTACATTTTCATGATAAAATTAAGATTTAATGAATACGAATGCCATAACTGAGAGAAAAACACTGACCAGAAGATATTTCCATCTAAAAATACATTTAACATAATTAAATCTTGCATTAGACATTAGGTATCTAATGTGTAATAGTTGATCTGATTTTTAAAGTATTATACAAATCATAGGGATAAATGAAAGGCCATCTAAAGAAAGAAAAACACCATTACATTGAGGAAATAATCTCACCATTTCGTTAATTGGAATGGCATATTAACACAGTCATATTTTAATTTGGTGGGACAGCATTGACATGTCACTACTAATCTGATTAATTGGTTGGTTTTAACTCATTAATAAGCTTAATCAGTTATTATTCCTTCATTCAACAAATAATTATTGAGCATCTATACGCAGGCATTATGTTAGGGTCTGGGAACATAAGCAAGATAAACACAATCCCCACCTCGTGGAGTTAGAGTCCAACGGGGAAGACCCATACCAAACAAGAAAGCAGAAGCAGCGTTCTTAAGGGAGAAGTAGATGAATGCCTTGAGAGTGTGTAGCCATCTTACCACAAATACAGACCAGGCACTTCTCAGTCCTTTCTCTAGCTCACTCTCGTCTTCAGGGTGGACAATCTGAGAGTAAATCCTGAATCTCCAGGGACTTTGGTGGCAATGCAGAAATCAGACTGCCAGATCCTCCCTGGCCCATCTGCAGAGCACAGTCTCCTTGAGAGATGCAGTTCATGTTGCCTTGTTTTCCTTGTAAACTCTTAAGGAGATTTGCATCCCAAAGGAATGCTGATCAGGGACACTTGCCAGAATTATTGAGGTGAGATGATTTCATGGATAGCTCTTAAGACAGGTAACAAAGTCTAAGAGAAGCATGCTCCTAACCTGAATATACTCGTGGATACTAATATTGCAACACCACGTAATTCCAGAAGGCCTGTTTAAATGAATCTGGAATGCCTAGATACCCCCAATCCACGGATTAGATGGATGGAGTAGGACGAGCTATGCAAATTGCAAAACTCTAATTGTAAGCAAAATGTATATTTATTTTGTGAGTCAGATTGGCATCATATTCTAAAATGTGGGTTTTTGTTTCTTTCAGAATGTTCTCATTGTTGAGGTAAGCTGGTTTTTCCTTTCTCGTATTTGGAAGTTGAAAGAATCTAACGGTGAGTTTTAAAACGTGGAATTGCTCTCAAATTGGCCAAGAATGTATCGAGTTCCCATTATGTGCATGCCTCTTCAAACATATTGAATAGGAGCTACCAAGCATTCATGTTTCCAAGTAATTTAGAATAAAAGCTTTGCAATAAAGATTGTGTGTCTTCTTGAGGAAACCTGAGCTAAAAAAAATTAAAATTTTTTTTAAAAAAGGTTGTGGGTACTTTATCCTATTTTATCTCTAATTTCACATCTCTAAATTTTCTGCCGATGTGTGAATCAGCCATTTCTAGAGAAGAGAAAACACATTCACAGGAAATTCATTTCATATAAAACCCTAAATTCAGTATTCTAGCTAAGGACCTCTAATGACTTGGAGCAATTCTCAAATAGCTTCTCAAATCATAAATACTACCAATTTAAAAGTGGCTAGGGGGAAGTTATGATTTTTGTTTTTCTGTTAAAAAAGAAAAAGGGCCGGGCTCGGTGGCTCAGCCTGTAATCCGCGCCTTTGGGAGGCTGAGGTGAGTGGAATGCCTGAACCCGCGGGTTCGAGACCTGCCTGGGCAGCGAGACCTCATCTCTACAATAAATCCAAAAATCAGCCAGGCGTGGTAGCGCATGCCTGTAGTTCCAGCTACTTGGAAGCAGAGGCGGAAGGATCCCGGAGCCCAGCAGGTGAGGCTGCGGTGGCCGGGAGAGGCCACTGCACTCCAGTCTGGGCGACAGAGCGAGATTCCAACTCAAAAAAAAAAAAAGAAAAAGGAAGGAAGGAACGAAGGAAGGAAGGGCAGACTAGGGGAAAGCTACTATTTTTTAATTTGTTTAAAAAAGAGAGAGAAGGAAGACAGTTTGGGGGGAGAGAGGGAAGGAAGGAGGGAGGAAGAGAGAGAAAGAAGGAAGGAAGGGCAGACAAGGGGAAAGCTATGATTTCTTAATTTGGTTTAAAAAAAGAGAGAAGAAAGGAGGGGGAGAGGGATGAAGGGAGGAAAAGAAAGAAGGGAAGGAAGGAGGGAGAGAGGGAAGGAAGGAAGGAAAGAAGGAAAGGCAGACTAGGGAAAAGCTATGACTTTTTAATTCAGTTAAAAAAAGAAAGGAGAAGCCGGACTCGGTGGCTCAGCCTGTAATCCCGCGCCTTTGGGAGGCTGAGGTGAGTGGATTGCCTGAGCCTGAGGGTTTGAGACCCACCTGGGCAACTTGGTGAGACCTCATCTCTACAATAAATCAAAAAATCAGCTGGGTGTGGTAGCACAAGCCTGTAATTCCAGCTACTGGGAAGATTGAGGCGGAAGGATCGCCAGCGCCCAGCAGGTCGAGTCTGTGGTGGCCGGAAGCAGCCACTGCACTCCAGTCTGGGCAACAGAGTAAGACTCCAACTCAAAAAAAAAAAAAAGAAAGGAGAAGGAGGAGGTGGGAGGGATGAGGGTAGGGAAAGAAAGAAAGGAGAGAGGAAGGGAAGGAAGGAAGGAAAAGAGAGCATGAGCCCTGTGGCAGCAATGGCCTAAAATGGCAAATGGCTACACTTCCTTCAGGAGCACGCCTGTCTTATCAGCTGGCAAAAATTCAGGGGAGCTGCTTTTCAGCTTTTGTTATACAATTGCCTGTGTGTGCTATGTGTATCTAGTTTTCCTGACTCAACATAGCCCATGGAGTAGACCCTCTAGCCAAATGAATTGCCCAACCCTGGCTCAACTCAGACCTGTTGTTTTGATAATCAGCTCCTGACAGCTGATTTCTGTCCTAAGGACAATAAATCACTGCTGCCCATTCTCCTCTAATTGTGCAGCAGCTCATCAACGGAGATGAGCCTGCACTCATGGCAGCCGTGGACCCTCAGAATTCATGGGCTGTCACCAGCTGCTGTCCAGACACATTGCACTTCCCAGCCACAGAATCCCCTATTGAATGAGGAGGACAAGGGGGAAGTGTTTATTCATTCAGCGTATTCAGATGTACATGTCCATGAAAATTCATGTGCCTTGTATTGTGTTACATAACCTCCGGGCCAAATTTAGTCCTCGAATGTGCATGCACGAGTCCAAATGTACTCAACGAGGACTCCCACATGCTCTCCAAGGGCTAAATTTGGCCCTCCAACACAGCAGCTAAAAGATTCAAGGAAGAAATATTCACCAGTAGATTCCCCAAAACCCAGCGTCCAGAAAGAAGTCCTGTCTAAATAAAACATAACCAACTCGTCCTCCTACTTTGACTCCAACTGGATGGCATTTTAAATTATGATCCATTATTAATAAGGAATCTTTCCCTGGATGAAAAGTCTGTTATTCCGCTCAGATGCATTTTGTTGAATCTGTCCTCTTTGCAAAGGATGTCGTTGGGACTGGGAGGACCATGAGAGCACTGCTCAGCAGCATGGAGAAATACAAGCCCAACACCATTAAGGTAGCCAGGTGAGTAGGACATTCATAACACAATGATTTGGGGTTTTCCAAGCAAGCCCAAAAGGAATGCTAACACAAGATGCTCTTTCCAAAGAACAGAATCTGTTCCAAAGAAGTGACCTTTTGCCCTGGGGTGTTATGGTTTGGCTACAGCTCATGTGACTGCCAGCCTAAGAGAGTAGAGGGAGGAGGACATACTTGGCTGTGTTTCTGAGCCCCTCTTTTCTTTTTTGGGGGGGTTGGAGTCTCACTCTCTCGCCCAGACTGGAGTGCAGTGGCCGATCCTGGCCACCGCAGCCTCGACCTGCTGGGCTCCGGCCATCCTTCCGCCTCAGCCTTCCAAGTAGCCGGAATTACAGGTGCGCGCTACCACGCCCGGCTAATTTTTGATTTATTGTAGAGATGAGGTCTCGCCAAGTTGCCCAGGCAGGTCTCGAACCTGCAGGCTCAGGCAATCCACTCACCTCAGCCTCCCAAAGGCACGGGATTACAGGCTGAGCCACCGAGCCCGGCTGAGCCCCTCTTTTCTATGCCTCCCTCAGCTGTCTCCAGGAGCAGCCAGATGACCCTTCTGCAGGTGCCCTGCCCTCTTCCAATTGTCCAGAACCATCGATGTAGTGCCACTATAGCAAAACATGTATTTTAAGTGCATATTTTAATGATGTTTAAGTCTATTTGCAATTCACAGAGATTTTATTGGGATCACTAAAACATTTTTTTCTTTTAATGGTAGTTTGTTGGTGAAGAGAACACCCAGGAGTGATGGCTTTAGACCTGACTGTAAGTGGTTTCTTGGTTTTTACCTATTGGTTGGTTTCTTGACGGTGGTGTTTTGCTTTGTATTTAAGAATCTTTTGTTTCCTATTTGACAGCATTCCATGGAAAGTGGAAGCTACATAGGGCTATTAGTCCCACAAATAACTTACAATCTCCCCCACCCTATTAGGGAAAACAGAGTTCTTTATTTTTTTCTTTCTTTCTTTATTATTATTATTATTATTATTTTTTTTTTTTTGAGTTGGAGTCTCACTCTGTCGCCCAGACTGGAGTGCAGTGGCCGCTCCCGGCCACCGCAGCCTCTCCTGCTGGGCTCCGGCGATCCTTCCGCCTCAGCCTTCCGAGTAGCCGGAATTACAGGCACGCGCTACCGTGCCCCGCTGATTTTTGGATTTATTGTAGAGATGAGGTCTCGCTGCCCAGGCAGGTCTCGAACCCGCGGGCTCAGGCAATCCACTCACCTCAGCCTCCCAAAGGCGCGGGATTATAGGCTGAGGCACCGAGCCCAGCTCTTTATTATTTTTTTTGGTTGGTGTCTCACTCCTTCACCTAGGCTGGAGTGCAGTGGCACACACGCTCACGGCCTCCCCAGCGTCGACCTGCTGGGTTCCGGCAATCCTTCTGCCTCAGCCTTCAGAGTAGCCAGACCTACAGATGCACTACCACACCCGGCTATTTTTTATTTTATTGTAGAGATGAGGTCTCGCCAAGTTTCCTGGACTGGTCTTGAACCTGCGGGCTCAGGCAATCCACTCGCCTCGGCCTCCCAAGATGCTGGGATTACAGGCTGAACCACCGAACCGAACCCGGCCGACAGAATCCTTTAAAATGCGGGTCTTTGGCTGAGCATAGAGGCTCACTCCTGTAATCCCAACACTTTGAGAGACTGAGATAGGAGGATTGCTTAAGCCTGGGTGTTTGAGACCAGCCTAGGCAATACAGCAAGACCCCGTCTCTACAAAAAAATCAAAAAATTAGCCAGGCATGGTGGAACATGCCTAGTCCCAGCTACTCAGGAGGCTGAGGTGGGAGGATCGCCTGAGCCCTGGAGGTTGAGGCTGTGGTGAGCTGTGAGCATGCCTACACTCCAGCCTGGGCAACAGAATGAGACCCCGACTCAAAAAAAAAAAAAAGAGAGAGAGTCTTAAGTATTCTCATTTGCGTCTTTTACAGGAACTCTGTTCTGTGCATCAGTTTTGTTTATTTTTAGGTTTTACACTGCACCTTAACTCTAGAACTCAACTGAAAAGTTTCAGGGGGTAGAGAAAAACTTGACCCACTGGACTGATTCAGACATGTAGGATCCCTGCCTTGGCCACTGTTCCAACCAGACAGACACAGCGAGGTACCATGGAGGTTTAGAGGGACTGTCATATCACCATAAGGAACTGTCACCAGACAATGCACAATGGTGACCTTTAGTAGGCCTGCATTTCAGCACACAGAAGGGGAAATCTGAGCCATCTCCCCACTACCTCCAAACAAAAGTTCCATAAGCCATAGAATTAGAGCAGATATTGCTGGATGCCATCTTCACACTTTCCTTCAGATTTGTGTTCCAGAGGGCTTTCCTTACCTTACCTAGGGCACTCCCCTCTCCCTCCTCCTCCCCATAAGACCAGTTCTAACACCAGGAAGAATAAACAAGCAGCCTGATTATTTATTATTCCAACACTAGAGCCGATTTTTTTTTCCCTTGCATAGGCAGACTTCAGTTTGATTTTTGTAACGTACATTTGCTCTAAAGCCCCTGGGATAGTTTGGCTACAATTCTCAGCAAGCTGAATAAACATTAGAGAAAGAGAAACGCGGTATGGATAGGTCACATGCCAGTGACATTTAACCAGCGACTCTTGATTCTAAAAACAAGTCTCATTCTTGTGCTGGATGTGCTCTATCTAGACCGTGTCAGTCCTGGGCAGAGAGACCCAATCGAGTGTTCCTGTTTGTTACTAGTATCAAGAATATAATCCGGATGTAGTGAAGATTACATGAGGTTACTAAATAGAAATTATCTAAGGCACTAGTATAAAATACAGTATAGATAAGATTTTAACTGAAGTTCAAAAGCATTCACTTCAAACGAATCCAATTAATTACAAATTTCTTCTGTCACTTATAGCAACATCAATAAAATAATAGCAGCTAACACTAAGAGGATGTGATGTGCCAGGCACTGTTCTAAGAACTATATAGAGATTAACTCTTTTTTTCTCCACAACAGTTCTCTAAAGATAGGTACTATTGTTATACCTCATACCCATTTTATAGATGAGAACATTGAACATGGCAAGGTTAAATAGCTTTCCAAGATCATGTAGCTTTAAATGTAGGTTCTGGCTTCAGTCCCTGCTGTGACTCTTGCAAGCAATATCTACATTTGTGATTGTTAATGTAGGAGCTACTCTCGTTTACCAGCCAGTGGCAGGTCACTCTGATTCCTGACTATCCAACTGATCCATCATCCTTCTTTTATTCTATGACATTTCAAGGTTTGGCCTTTTAAACCTGCTTTGGGTTCTAATCTTCCCAGTTTGAGTTGCCTGCCTAATGGAGAGATTGCATTGCTCACTGAAGTCATTATTACAACTCTGGTTACAACCCATTCTGAAAACAACTCTGGTTTCCTGGGATTCACTCATGTTTGTTTTTTGTTTTGTTTTGAGACTAGATCTTGCTTTGTTGCCTGGGCTGGTCTTGAACACCTGGGCTCAAGCTATCCTCCTACTTCAGCCTCCCTGTAGCTGGGATTACAGGCGTGCAGCGCTGAGCCCGGCTTCATATTCTTTTTGTGAGCTCAGAATCTCTGTTTCTTCTCTTTCTCTAAATTTCTGAAGCTTTGTACATTTCGTTCCTTTCTCATTATTGATTCTTTCTTTTATGCTCAATGTAACCTCTGACATCTTCTGCTTTTTCTTCTCCTCTTTGATTATTTTTTCCAAGAAGCTTTGCGGTTTGGAGGAATCAAACCGGCTTCTTAACATGTGATCCCATAATACAGTCCTAGAAAATAAGCCCCTCACTTCTAGCACTTTCTGTGAGCAGGAACCAGTTGTTTTCTCCATGTGAGAGCATCTTTGGTCACAGTCACTTTGTGCTGTGAGTCACTGGCTGTACCAAAGTACAGTTTCATAAACGTAAGCAAATATATCTCTTATCTGTAATACTGTAATAAACAAACTTATAAAATTCTAAAATACTGAAAAAAGTTTGCAAGACATTGGGCCAAGGCACATTTATTCTGTTTCAAGACCTCTGAAGAAGGAGAACTATTGTCTGTTCCTTAAGAATCCACTCCAATAAAAATATTTTCAATAGTCTTCTTTTGCTTAACTTAAATACCTTGTACTGCATCTAAATTCATTTCCTCTCATTCTGCCCTCAATAGAGATAAAGAGCTAATTAATGTCCTCTGCATTGTGGACCCAAAGACCAACATTAAAATAACCCTTCATGTTCTCTTCCTCAAGCTGAACAACCTCATTTCCTTTCATCTTGTCTCCCGGGTTTTGCTTTCCAGCCCTTTAACCAGCCAAGACGCTGAGTAAGTGAGAGAATTGCTTCCCAGTTACTGTAGCCTGTGCACCTGTTCACCTGTATTGCAGTATCATAATGCCTTCTGCTTGAACTTCCCTTTATGCTGTTCAGAGTGTTTCCTTTGGCATCATATCATTGCATCCTGCTTGCTTTGAAACCAGGCCACATGACTAACTCACGCATACTTCTTGGTATGCACCAGGCTTCCTGAGCCCTCTCTCAGCTCCGTGTTCTGGGAGATCCATCTTTCTTCATTGTGTGTGTGTGTGTGTTTGCCTTATCTCCCCAAGTAGTCTTTCTGGTCCAGATCTCTCTTGGGCTTGTCTTATGCATTCCTTGCCACTTTTCTCACCTCCTTCCATCTAAATGAAAGGTTGATCACAACACATACGTGACTTACATTTCTATAATCTAAATTTTGTTTCTTTTTTTCTCTCCCTCTCTCTGCTAAGATGCTGGATTTGAGATTCCAAACTTATTTGTGGTGGGATATGCCCTAGATTACAATGAATACTTCAGAGATCTGAATGTAAGTCTTGCATGCAAATCCCTAGCCCCCTTTGCATAAGAACTTAACAGTGACTTATCAGTTTAACACATTATTGAAAGAGTAGTAATAATGACTGCTATTTATTGAGTATCTTTGGTGTAATATACATGGTGGGCACTTTGCGTCCATCTTTCCAATTAATTTCCAGTATTATTCTTCAAGGTAGGTATTAGGATGATGAAAGCAAAGGACGATTTCCTGTATTTTGTTCTAAAGAAATAGGAAGCTAAAAGCAGAAGTGTGGTCTGACACTGATTCTTCTCCATGGTCATTGACTGTGCCCAGTCAACCATAACAATTCTATACATTGTTTATGTCATTGCTTGAAATCTAGCAGGTTTCGATCACAGTGGCATGCAGCCCATAGCTGTTTCCCTTTGGGGGACATGGTCTCAACACACAGATGTGAACCTTTAGTGTAGACCCCCAGCTGTGTGACCCTAGAAGCAGACATCTTACAAAGTGGACCAATCAGTGTTTCTCTCCTGGGAATTAGAAAACAAAAGTCAGCTGGGCTCAGTGGCTCAGCCTGTAATCCCCCACTTTGGGAGGCTGAGGTGAGTGGGTTCGAGACCCGCCTGGGCAACTTGGTGAGACCTCATCTCTACAATAAATCAAAAATCAGCCGGGCATGGTAGCGCGCTTATAGTTCCAGCTATTTGGAAGGCTGAGGCGGAAGGATCGCCGGAGCCCAGCAGGTCGAGGCTGCAGTGGCCGGGAGAGGCCACTGCATTCCAGTCTGGGTGACAGAGTGAGACTCCAACTCAAAAAAAAAAAAAAGAAAGAAACCAAAAGTCACAGAGGGTTTTTGGACTTCAGCCACTATAATAGCAGTGCCCCAGAGAGCACCTACAGCACCACGGGCTGAAGTCTTGCACCTGCCTTTCAGTTTCTTCCTTGCTCAACTCTTCCTTGGATTTTGTGGGCTACTCTAGTATCCTACCAATCAACTGCCCTTTTTTGCTTACATTAGCATAACTCCATTTCTGTTGCTTGCATTCAAAACATTCCTAACACATTTCTTGCTGCCCAAAAAGGTGAAATGAGTCTATATTGTATTCACTGGGTATTTCTCTGTTCTCCCAAGCAGTTGTCATTTTACCAGTAGGAAACTTCTATTTCTACCAGGGCTAAACATACTACTCCCTCAGCTTTTCTGGCTTTTAGGGATCTAGGGAGCCAGATTTGGAATAGGGCTCAAAACTAAAACAACAACGAACCTCTATTGTCAAGACTTTGAACAACTCTCTTTAGACATTGCACACATGTGTAAACACACACTTATATAATGAAATGAACAATGACCAATTATAGGATGGTGTTCTTTTACTAATGCATCACATTTTCTTTGCCTCATATTTTGTTAAGAAATTGATGCATCTAAATCCTTTATTGTTTCAGCACATATGCGTGATCAACGAGCACGGTAAAGAAAAATACCGCGTCTAAAGACATAAATTCTCACCACCGGATTCCCATGTAACTTGGTGCTCAAGATGACAAGACACTCAAGCCAGCTGTACAGTTTGTCTCCCCAGGCATCTTCACTCAGCAAGATAAAAAAGAAAAAAATGAATGAGAGCACATTCTTGTCCAAGATTATAATATAAAGAGCACCAAAGGATCTTAAGCAATGCTTTCATTTGACTTGTTCCAAATTAAACACTCCACCTGGTGACTCAGCCAGTTCTATCTTCCTCACACTCCTGAGCTGTGCCTTCTTTTGTTGTGATCCAGTCATCATGCCTGATTGCTATTCCCAGGAATACCCCACCTAGTTACTCAAATATTTTTCACTTAACTTTTTTTAATACTCTATTTTGGTAATATTTTACAATATTAAGAACCCAGAAACCTTTTAACTTAACTCCTGAGCCCCATATGTTAGGAAAGCAATCAGGCTCTCATACTGAAAAAAGAGGGAAAGGACAATTGAATATCAATTTTTGTTTGCACATTTCTGACAGGCCATTATTATCTGCTTTGACAAAGCCTTTCTGAAATGCAGTGTACAATGAATCTTAATGATGTTATGAAATGAGCCTGGGCTCGGGGCTCTTGTTCTGAGCTTCCGGTATGTGATGACGGTACGTCATGTATGCATGGATGTACTCAACTGTGTTTAATACTCTGAATTTTAATTAGAGAAAACACAATGGCGGCAAGGCTGTGGTTTCTAAGCTGCATCCTTTTATTCATGTGGGACATGAGCAAATGGCAGAATTAAGGGGGAATGTTTTCAAAACTCAAAACTAAGCAAGTATAAATTTTTCCTCTATTTGCGTCAAAGGACAAGACACTGTTCTGTTAGGTACTGTCCTAAACATGAACACAGAGGTTGAATTATTCTTAAAGTATCCTTGTAAGACTCATCATGAAATTCAAGGCACTCTAGGAAACAAACTTACTTAAAGTTTTTGTGGATAAGTTTTTTTTCAACTGTTTTATAAGACATTTTCTAATTTATGGGGATTTGCATTGAAAATAAACTTGAGTGCCAGTAGAGCTGTTTTTATTCACTTCCTAAAAAAAACAAATGCAAAATAAATAATTAAGCAGCCTTTGTTTGGTTCTGAACCATATGTGGTGTATTGTTATTAGGTTCTAGCTTCCTTTACACTAGTAAAGAATAAGAAAATGTGTTATGTTTTATAACTGCTTACTGCTTTTCCTCTGCCTTCATACTTTTTATATACTTTGAGCTGTTAAAATGTATGTGAGTCAGTAGCTTAAATATACTACTCTATATACCTATCCTGTGGCTTTATTTTTGTTAACCTGGATCAAATCCAATTTATGCACTAGTATAAGCAAACGATTAAACCAGGCTAGATCTGCTGGATTTTTGAGTTTTTGTTTTGTTTTTCTTCTTCAGCTTGTTTGTAAGAACAAGGAATTTTAGTGGCAAAAGATTGTCCGCATATCTTTGTTTCGGTCAGAGAAAAAAACAAACCACACCCAGATATCCCAAGGGGAAAATCAGCTAAGGGGATCCCTTCTAGCTTTGTTTCATAGAAGAATTGGTACACAAGTGATAGATTTATAATTCTGCATAAATGTCCAATACCTTATAATATCAAAATTGATGATCTAAACATAATTTTTCACAATGCCACACTTATATCAGGGGACCTAAAAAAATCCAGACACACATTTGAGATTCTAAATCTAAAATTATTCGTAAGCTATACAGTATTAAAATGTTTTCTTTAAAAAAGTTGAATTTTAGTAAGCATGAGTATCATTTTGAGGGCTCATGTTTATTCAAATTAGAAAGGAAATTGATCTACTTTGCAGGATTGTGAGTACTTATGTAATTAGTGCTAAAAAAGAAGAATTCATTAAATACACATGAAGTTTAATCATGCCTGCAATTTTTTCCTACCAGACAATATTTTGACAGTGATAGCCAAAAAAGTTATTTTGGGAAGCATAGTATGTCCTTTTGTCTTGCAAAACTCTATTCTATTTAACATCACTAAATTTATTCATTTGAAACCAAAAATGTAAAAGCCTATTACCTAATAGAAAGAAATGCATTATTTATTTTTGTATTCCAAAGTTGATACAGAGGGGAGAAAGTGTGATGTGTGTGTATTTCATTGGGACATTTGGGTTCAGTTATCATCAACATAATTAGTAATACTTTGGGATTTTTCCAAACAAATTAGAATCCCTTATTATAAACTGGCCCTTGCTTGCATGGACCGGAATGTACCACATGTTGAACTATGTACCCCAAATGTGAACTGCAAATGGTCAAATCCCAACGTGCCTTGTTTAATTTCTGACACTGTGAAAACAGCCTTTGGGAGCAGAGTCAGGCATGGCTCAGCCTCCTGTGGGCTCAACTTGTTTTCCCAACTGAGAGAAGCAGCAACCAATCCCACTTCCAGAGACCTGATGTCATAAAAATATGTCCTCTTTTTTGTCATACAGGTAGTGTGTTTTAGGAATGAAAAACACTAAACCACAGTCTACCCAGCTGTCAGGCTAATTTGGGCAAACTTAGCATTTGAGAGTTTCACTTACTTTGCTGTCATGAAGCTCCTTTGGATCCCAAGACTGGCACTTGGTGGCTAGTTTCTGAAGGAAGGAAGGGATCTCTGAGTGCTGGTTCGGGGTGGTGTGCAGAGATAGAACGAGGGTGGACAGAAACAATGAACTGGGCTGCATTGTTTCTTGACTTCAGTCACACCCTGGAGGTTTCTGAGTTCTGTGCAAAGACGAGCTCACGTGGAGGCTCACACCTATAATCTCAGCACTTTGGGAGACCGAGGTGAAAGGATTACCTGAGCCCACAGGCTCGAGACCAGCCTGGGCAACTTGGTGAGCTCTCATCTCTTTAAAAAAAAAAAGGTGGTCTTATTAGCGAGTGCAGTGGTTCACGCCTATAATCCCAGCACTTTGGGAGGCTGAGATGAGAGGATTGCCTGAGCCCACGGGTTCAAGATCAGCTTGGGCAACTTGGTGAGACCTCATCTCTACAATAAACCAAAAAATTAGCCGGACATGGTGGCGTATGCCTGTAGTTCCAGCTACTTGGAAGGCTGAGGCAGAAGGATCACCTGAGCCCAGCAGGTTGAGGCTGCGGTGGCCGGGAGCATGCCACTGCCCTCCAGCCTGGATGACAGAGTGAGACTCCTACTCAAACAAACAAAAAAACCAACCAAGACGCCAGGCAAAAGCACTGTCTTGGTGGCAATCTTAATGCTGCACAATGGAGACGAGGCAAAGCATTGGTGCAGGAGGCAGGAAGGAAGCAGCGGGCGCCAGCACTCCAAGGGGGCTCTGCAGTCTGGGGAGCACTCCTGGCAGGAAAGGGTCTCCACACCCAGGGCGCTTCTTCGTGGGCCACAGACATCCACACGGATGACCAGAGTCCACGTGGGAGGAGTGCTACGTTCAAGAAAGCTCAGAGCACCCCAGAACACCACGACCGCGTCAGGCTGAGCAGGCACGTTGCTGGCACCCGGTGCAAGGACACGAGGCCGAGGGGAGCCCGCGCTCCACTTGTCCCAGAGTAGACCCTGGCTGGCAACGGCCCACAGGAAGGGATGCCTTCTGACAAGGATGTCTTTTTCCAGTCGACTCAGAAAAGCTGTTTTTTGCAACTTGTCATCCAGAAGAAGGATGCTTTTGCCAGGGCATTTTTTCAGAAGTAAGTAGGGGAGAATTTGAAGATGGATGGGGCGCTGAAGTCGTACATTTCCCAAATGGGAGAAATAAGCCTGAACTAATGTTACTGCTATCTAGTTGTATCCAGAGTCTGGTGAGAATAAGCTGTCAGTGAGAAAGGTAAGTGTTGAGGATTCAGGCAAGAAGCCTGGCTGTAAGAAAAGAGACATATGGCCGGGCTCGGTGGCTCAGCCTGTAATCCCAGCACTTTGGGAGGCCGAGGCGAGAGGATTGCCTGAGCCCGCAGGTTCGAGACCCGCCCGGGCAACTTGGCGAGACCTCATCTCTACAATAAATAAAAATTAGCCGGGTGTGGTAGCGCATACCTGTAGTTCCAGCTACTTGAAAGGCTGAGGCGGAAGGATCGCCGGAACCCAGCAGGTCGAGGCTGCAGTGGCCACTGCACTCCAGTCTGGGCGACAGAGTGAGACTCCAATTCAAAAAAAAAGAAAAGAGACATATAACCATAGCTGGAGGATTTTTAAAAGATGGGAAAGGCCAGGTGTGGTGGCCCACACCTGTTATCCCAGTGGTTTGGGAGGCCAAGGCAGGATTGTTTAAGACCAGGAGTTCTAGACCAGCCTGGTCAACAAAGCAAAACCCCCATCTCTACAAAAAAAAGAATTTAAAAAACAAAATGAGAGAGACTTGTGCTTTTTTTCTTTTTTTTTTTTTTTTTTTGAGTTGGAGTCTCTGTTGCCTAGGCTGAAGTCAGTGGCACACTTACGGCCACCACAGCCTCCACCTGCTGGGTTCAGTCCTCTCACCTCGGCCTCCCAAAGTGCTGGGATTATAGGTGTGAGCCACTGTGCCAGGTCAAGATTTTTTTTTTTTTTTTCGAGTTGGAGTCTCACTCTTGTCTCCCAGGCTGGAGTACCGTGGCACGCTCATGGCCTCCACCTGCTGGGCTCTGGCGATCCTTCTGCCTCAGCCTTCCAAGTAGCTGGAACTACAGATGCACACACGCCACCATGCCTAGCTAGTTTTTATGATTTGTTGTAGAGACAAGATCTCACCAAGTTGCCCAGGCTGGTCTCCAACCTCCAGGCTCAGGCAATCCTCTCTCCTCAGCTGAGCCACCATGTCCGGCCTTCACGTATGCATTTTTATTTGCTGTAGATGACAACAAAAAACAGAGAGGAAGAGTTATTACTAATAAGCTAATCAAATAGTTATTGATTGCCTTGTGACAAATTGCTCCAAAACTTAGTAGCTTATACCAACAATGATTATTTAGTATCTCTCATGGTTTACACGAGCTAGGAACACAGAGCACACTGGGGTGGCTTGTTTCTGCTCTGCGATGTCTGATGCTTCAGCTGGAAGACTCAGAGCTGAGGGCTGCAGCCGTGAGAAGCTAAACACAGTGTGGCAGCCATTAGCCCCATGTGGTTATTTAAATTTAAACTAACTAATTTTTTTTTAATTGGAGTCTCACTCTGTTGCCCAGGCTGGAGTGCAGTGGCATGCTCACAGCCACTGCAGTCTCAACCTGCTGGGTTCAGGCGATTCTTCCACCTCAGCCTTCCAAGCAGTTAGAACTGCTGGCTGGCGACAGCCCACAGGAAGCGATGCCTTCTAACAAGGCTGTGTTTTTGGAACTACAGGCGCCACCATCCCGGCTAATTTTTTTGATTTATTGTAGAGACGAGGTCTTGCCAAGTTGCCCAGGCTGGTCTTGAAC